GGGTGTCGCACACCCAGGGTGCGGTTTAAGGGTTAATATTAATATTTCCAAGCATGTGAGTCCATAGAAGCATTTGGGATAAATAATAATTAATTATTTTACCCAATTAATGGTATATTAGTCGCAAATAAAATAATGATTTATTATGAATATTTGATACAAACAAATCTGTAGTTTTTTGGAAAAATTATTTTCTTGATTCAAATAAATATTTGAATTAAAAGAACATGAATTACTGAATCAAGCAATTTTCATAATAATTGATTTAAAGCAATATTTATTAATTTGAATTATTCCATTTATTTGACCTAAGTAATGCAAATTTGGTAAAAATAACTAAGTAATAGATAATAGACAAATAAAATATTTAATTGAATCAAACAATTTTTTCCATTTTTATTATTAATATTGATAATAATAGTTTAATATACCGACAGATTAGCTCAGTCGGATAGATGCCTCGCTTGGCGGTCGTCTTAAGGACCAAGGGTAAGTACCCTTGGTTCGCGCCCTTTTGGCTTGGTATTTTTCCGGCACGTGAGACAATCTGAGCGGGAGGTTTGACGTCGAGGTATAATGATGTGCACCGTCGATTATTGTCCGGTACACACCATTAGAACTCGACTGTCGATAAACCGGTTGTACTCAGGAGAGGTTTTCTACAGTTTCCCTCTCCACTGGCGAGAAAACCTATTAGACGGGTGATCCAGGCAAATGCGAGTACTCCTAATTTTTAAGTCGCTCTGTAGGCGCAAAAATTTAGTATTAAGTAAAATTTAAGAAATGTTTGTAACAAATGTTCTACGGTTGTAAAAACACTTGTATAGCCAAGATTGTAGGCTTAAGACGGGTGTATAAACAAAAAAATTTAAAAAAAATAATAATAATAATTTAATATTAATAATACTATAAAGAAAAGGGCCCCACGATGGTCAGGGTTTTAATTTAATTTTCTACAATTTGAACTGTATAAAATATTTTTTGAATTGTATGTTGAATAAAAGTAGGGGAGGATGGGGCAAGAATAGTTAGGTAAGACCTTTTCGGATCATGTTATAAAAAATCAGTAAATTTTTGTTTTCTTTATTTTATTGGATTTAGACTATTTAATATTGATATCTGAAAGTAATAACAATATGTTCTGAACATTTTCTAAATTTCAATATTGAATAAAAATTCGTCTGAACTAGAACCTGAAAGTTTACCAATTTTCTTCAGACGACCACCAATTTCTTGGTCAATAAGCTTCATTTTTCCGTATATGTGACCTGGTCTATGAAAAGGGACCTTACGTGTCAAAAAATCATTTTTTACTTTTTTGTTGATTCGGATAGGGTTTGAAATGCTCTTTAAGATGGTGAAAACCAAAAAAACATAAGTTGATTAGAAGTTTTTAAAAAAAATTTTAAAGTTAAAAAAAACAAGAGTAAAATACGAAAAAACTGATTTTTTTATTATACAAATTAAAATAACGAAGACGATAATTTTTTTATTATTTAGAAAAGTTGACAGTTTCTTTGACAACTGTCAACAGTTAAAATTCAAATTTGTTATCATATTCGTAATCAGCGAAAAAAACCCTTACAAACATGTGTCACTTATTTATACTTATTGTTGCAAGTTAGAAAACTTAGATTATTTTTTCTATGTTTGGGGAGTTTGTTATTAATTTATATAAACAATTAGTGAAAATAAAATTTCATTACTTGTATGTTATTTATTTAGATACTGTGATTCACGGTGAAGAAAATAAGTCTAAATTGATTAAAAAATATTAATATTTAAAAAAGTTACAAGGGTTTTTCTAAGTTAAACTTTAACTGCTGTTTTCTCGAAAACTTGTTTTCGCACGTAAGGTCCCTTTTCACTGTCCAGGTCACATATAATTACGCACCATTGTGTATATCAACCTAAAAAGAACAATTAAACATTTTTTTATAATTTCCAGTCGCATTAGCAGGATTTTTCCGTGCCAAACTAGCTCTAACTATTCTTGACCCATGGGGGAGTACGGAACCCATATTTCAATTTTTTTAAAATTTTGTGAAACAACGTGAATTTAATTGAAAATAAATACGATATTCATGTTCAGCAAGAATATAATAAAGCGTGATTAAGATTACGTTGACATTTTAGAAAAATAGGTGTTTTATAAAAATAAACTCCTAACTTCGCAAATGGTGGCAGATTGACTTCTAATTTTTACTATCATTAGTTAGGGGTCGTCCATAAGCCACGTAGCCCCATTTTTTGGGAATGTTGACCCTCCCCCCGTAGTACGCTATTACATGTAGGGGAGAGTGGGGCAAGACGGGATACTTAAGATTTAAAGCGCAAAAAAACGAAAATTATCGAATATATACTTTATTATTATTTTTAATTATCATTTTTGGAAATCAGTCTTTCGTAAAAAAGGCGTACAAAGGCTATCTGTTTCTTAAAAAAGCTTATAATTAATAATATTGAAAAAATTGCAAATCTCCCCATCTTGCCCCACCGGCTGGTAAGATGGGGTACTAACAAAAAACAACCTATTTCTGTCGACAAATTTTACAAGTAAAAGTTGCATCTTCATCTTCATGCATAACTGCAGTGAGCCCATTGGCCGCAGACAAAAAACCAGGCCAGCCTTTATTTGAGTCTAAATAATAACCATTACATCGCACGTGCGTTTGTTTAACAGGCGAGAAAAGTGAAATTTGATACTTTTCCGGAATTATTATTTTCGAATAATTCCAAAAAGTAAAAAAAATTTAATAATAAAAAAAATTAATAATTAATAAAAATTGAGAGAAAAAAAAATTATTTATTGCTATTATCAATAAATAATTTAATTATTTATTAATAATATTGCACTAATAATTAGTGCTGGTGCTCTGGTTATTATTGTTCAATAATCTCAGAAACACCTTATAATTTTGAATGGGGAAATAATTTTGAATAAATAATTTCCCTTTATTTTGCTGGGTTTAAAAGGAAATAATATTTTATTTGAATCGTTGCACGTGCGTTTGTTTGAAAGCACTTGGGGCCTAGGGGAAGAGGGAAGGATGGAACGAAGAAGAAGAAGCAACGAGTAGAGGCCAACTATGTATGAGTGGTCTGTACTATATGTAGAATGCATGTGTGCGTGCCGCTATGCTAGTGCTGTCTTAAGGAATCATATGTATGCGTGCGTATTGCCATAGCCACCCAAAGATGTATAGGTTTAAAAGGCGACGTTCATACATATGATTATTTTCTTTCTTATAATTTTTAATTACAATTTTACCTTATATAAAATTACTTTTAAGGTATACGCAACAAAACAACAGCAATATGCAGAATATCCAAGGATATCCCAGATGTAATTTCTTATAATTTTGAAAACTAAAATATGCGGGACATCCCAGGACATCCACATGTAATTCTTATTACATTTAAAACCAAAACACATGGGGCATCCGAGGTCACCCGCAAGCAATTTTCATGATAATTAAAACAACAAAATATAGGATATCCAAGGATATCCACAAACAGTTTCTATAATATTTAAATTAAAATATACGGAATATCCAAGGATACTCCATGGTAAACCCTAAAACATCCAAACCAAAAATATGTAGGATATCCAGGATATCCACATGTAACTTCTGTAATATTAAACACTAAAATATATTTGGATAAACATACCCATCCAAACTAAAATCATACAGGATATCCAGGATATCCATATGTAATTTCTGTAATATTAAACACTAAAATATACGGAATATCCAAGGATACTCCATGGTAAACCCTAAAACATCCAAACCAAAAATATGTAGGACATCCAGGATAAAATATTGCTCGTACTATATATATGTATAAATTATAATAATGTTATTTTAATGAGTTCCTGAAAATCATAAATTTTGTTTAACTAGTCTTTTAATTCTATTTATAATGAAAGCGCTTAAATAGCCCAACTTCGTTTCCGGTGCGGTGCTGATGTAAGCTTATGTTTTGTGATATCTCGGGATATCACCTTTCAGCTGAGCTTAGGTTTAAAAAAAATGTGGGGAGGGGACTTTAATATTAATTAAAAAAAATTTTAAAAAAATTAGGGAGTTAAATAAAAATTTTAAATTTAAGTTAGTGTTAGGTTAAACCGTAACAACCCACCGTGAATATTCCGTTTTCGTCCCCGAAAACTAACTGCGGTGGAAACGAAGTTAAGGTGCGTGTGATTTTATGAGTTTCAGGAAAACAGGCCCTCTTTGTTCTTCCTCTCTACGAATTCTAATAGAGTCGTTAAAAGAAAAAAATTTTTTTTTTCTAACGCACTATAAGAAGTTACAATGTATTTCTTATAGTGCGTTCCCAGTCACGGTGATTTTATGTTTTGGTATAGAATTACCGTGATAAGGGCTCAATGTCGCCGAGGTCCAGACACAGGTCCCCGCAAATCAGTTCGGTGACGACCGGGAAGCTAATTGCCTCGCGTACAAAAAAAAAGTTTCTTCTTTTCTTTTATTCTCCTTTTTTTTTTTTTTTTTTAAAAATGGAAAGAAATGTTAAGATTGTGAAAAACAGCAGTGAATTAAAAGAAAACGAGAAAACAAGTGAAGTGAGAAATTTAAATAAGAAGAAGAATAGTGAAATGGACAGTGAAAAAGTGATAGACAGGAGTGAAGTGATAAATTTAAATAAGAAGAAGAATAGTGAAATGGACAGTGAAAAAGTGATAGACAGGAGTGAAGTGATAGCGAACAAGGGCAAGAGTGAAAGTGTGGCGTCAGACAATAAGGCTTTAGAGGAGGGAATTAGAGAATTAATATCGATGTTGGAAAGAATAGAGGTGAAAGATATAAGGGAAGAAATGGTGAAAATGAACAAAATGGTGGGCGAAAAGTGTGAAAAATTGAACATCTCGGGGAAAGATGTTTTTAGTGGGGCCCGTGAAGTATATGAAGCCTTTCCTGGGGAAGAAAATTACATCCTCAGGAAAAAGGTTTTCTCCGAGTGCCTCATTGGGGGGGGCGAATTTCTTCCTTCAAGAAATCAGGAGAACATTAAGAAGGAGCTCGTCGCGAGGATGAACAGCTATGTCGAATTGCTGGGAGAATTAGGGAAACAAAAGGGAGCGAAAAGGTAAGGAACCCTCTTACTGCTTATATGTTTGTTGACATAATTAAATTATTTTCAGGAACCCTTAATAGATTCCCTGTAAAATGCCGTGATTTCCATAAAATTCAGAGAATTCTATTCAACCATTGTCATAAATTCCCTTTTTTTTTAACTTAGTCAAAACAATGTAATTACATAAAATATTAATGCAAAACTTTTAAATTTTATGTTATGTTGTGAACGAAAATCCTTCTCTCCTTTTTTTTTTAATAGATGGTTAAAAAAATATACTTCGCTTTTAACTGTTTATTCTAATGATTATTATTATTAGACAAACAGTCAATAAGAATATTCCAGAGTAGATTAAATGTAACGGTATTGAAAGCGACGAGATTTAACCAACCAAATTCAAATAATTTTAATATCTATACTACTTTCTGCAAAAGGGTTCAAATTGCTTGAAAATTAATTGATGCAATCCCTTAAAAGAATTCAATTTCAGAAAACATATGCAATTATTCAATAAATCTTTAATAAATTGTTGTTTTTTTTTTTTTAATAATGAAATTCTCATTGAATTTTCTCATAAAACCGATTTAAAATGGATTTCGGTTAAAACTCTGAGAAATAATAATCGAAATTGATGTTAATTTTATCGTTCTATCTTTGATTATTATAAAACATGAAGTAATCGATCGCTCCGAATCGAAGACTCGGAATTATTGACATCCTCATGATCTTTTAGTTATGAAAATCTAATTTATAGTTTCAAGCAAAGTGTTCTCTTATATATTTTTGTCAGTAATTGATCCATAAATGGTTCGTAAGTTTTTTTCTTTGAAAACAGAATTATCTGTAGCTAAAATACTAATTATAACTTGCATTAATTATCCAGTTACAAGATGTAATATAATATAATGAAGTATAAAAATGAACAATAAATAACATTTAGGATTAGGTTTTTTTTTAATAAAAAAAAAATTGCGAGGTAAATATTAGGCATACGATAGTTCCAGAATTCTGGTTCCATACATTGTCGACCTAATCGAATTTTTGACCTCGCAATCATCATCCACCCGACGGGTATGTGTCCATAATGCTAATATCACTCAAATATAGAGAAAGGACATTTGATGCGACATATTCTCTTTTTTTTTAATGAATTATAAGAATTAAAGTTATATTAAGTTACTATTTTATAAAATATGATTTTAAGAATTTAAATTTATGCTGTAGTCCTTAATAACACAGCAGCCACTTCTAATAATAATTATGTTTGTCGAGATTATGAAGGTAATTACTGTACTCTTAATAACCACAGTGTTTAGTGTTTTGTAAAATAAGAAAATTATTTACAGTTAAAGCTAACTATTCTGTGATCAAGAAATTCATGAAAATAAAATTTAGTTGAATGTTACATCAAATAACCCCTTTCTTTCAATGATGATGCCAATACTAACTTACACACGTTAAATTATATAAAACTAGCCGTCGCACCCGTCCCCGACGGGCCGTAGTCTCCGACAACGCACTCAATAGTGCATCCACCAACACAGAAAACCGGAAAATAGCCGGGAATTTGATTCGACAGGGAAAAAATAATAATTAGTTACTATTGTCTATTTCATTAGGAAAATAATACCATTTTAAACAGTGACCGACTTTTTATTATCAAATTAGTTATTTTTAACTAATTCAAATGCAGAAAACAATATTTCTCAATTTGTAGTACTTCAATCAATATAATGTATTAAAATCAATCTAAAATTCCCTCCAGTTTTTTTGAGTTATAGTACAGTCTAATTTGAACTAATTATATAGCAAGTAGATCCAGTTTTTCTCGGTTACATTAAATTCCCTGATATTTTACGTCTTTTCCGGTCGGTAGACACCCCGTTAAATGCATTATTAAAAAAAAACCCGTCGAATAAACCAGGAAAAATTTGGACAAAGCCGGAAAATGTTTTAAACCAAAATAAACACCGTGTTTAACTTTTGTCTTTACATTGATCAAGATATCACTAAAAGTTAAATCAGAGAGCCCACAAATACTATTGAATTAAGCTTCATAGCAATTGGTATCAAGATAATTTTTTTCAATTTTTTTGATATTCAAAACATTTTTATATTTCCATTTTAGTTACAAAGTATTATTTTTTTGCAAAATTATGCTAAAATGTTAATAAATAACATGTAATACTCAACTATAGAAAGTTTAGAAGCAATCCATAAAAAATATAAAATTTAGAAATAATTTGTGTTAAATAAATTCATTTATTAAAGTCAAGTATTTATTTAATTAATCCAATTAAGATTTATTTGATTTAACTAAATAAAATTATTTAAACGAAATAAATTTTTATTAGATCGAAATAAAAACTTTTAAATAAGATATTATATCACTATTAGGTATTAACGTAACTTACAATGATAGCCTTATCCGATAAAAAAAATATTAACTTGAACGAAAGTTATGACATTTTTCCAAAAAATTCGAAAAATCAAAAAAATGCAAATTTTTTATCTTTTGTAAAATAAATGCAAAACTATCATTAGCTAACTTTTTCAGATAAATAAAACCCATTTCTACAATAAAATTTTTTTAAAAAAAACGTATTTTGAAATTTTTTTTCGTTTTTTTAGATCAACTTTTTTCTAAGAAAATAGTGATTTTTAATCTTTAAGCAAGCTTTTCAGGAAAAGTTATTAAAGTTTTTTATTTAAAGATCAGTATGTAAAGTAAGAAATTTGCTACATTAAACAAAAATAATTAAGCTAAATGCCATAAAAAGAAAAAAAAATGTTAAATTTTAAGAAATTCGGTTTCTCGAATTTTTTGATAATTTTTGAATTTTTTTTTTTTTAAAGGGTGGAGACTATTCAAATAGTATAATTATACCACCGAAATAGCTAATGGTTACCAATTATTAATTCTCCGGTGAAATCAAATTCCCGGGTATTTCCGATTCTCCAGATCGGTAGAAACACCGCTAAATGCATTGGTAGAAACCAAAACCCGTCGAAGACGGGCACGACAGCCAGTGCCATATATTATCAAAATTTTTTAAAATTCAAAATTTATCTTTTAAAATAATTATTGTCATCAATTTTACTTAAATTTGATACAGGGTTAATTCATTAGAATTAATAAATTCTACTCATTCTCCGCAAACTTTCATATTTTCCCGTAAAGACATTTTATAATGGAAAATAAGTTTTATGGCTACAACTACGTCAAGTAATGATTGTATATGAATACATTGGTTCTAAGACTTATAAGAAAATAAACTCCCCTTCTTTTTTTTAACAAAATTGAGAAGAAAAAAAAAAAACTTAGCTATATATTCCCCGATAGTTCAAAACACATTTGGTGGTGCGCACAGTGCCATCTCCCGAGTCCTTCCGCACATAGAAACGCAAACCACTATACCAAAGTGTTCCAGCATCAAATGTATGGAAGCCAGACTGGGGTGGTCCCACTTCCAGTGGGCGGGAAGTTTTTCTGTGAATTTTCCTTGCTAGGCATCGGGCCTCCCCTAAGACACACCCTTGTCCAATTGGACAACATTCTCACTCTCATTGGGCCTCATCGCTAATAGCAAGAGACTCCCCATAGTTTTTAAGAGAATTTATAACTGAGTGTTTTTGTGATAACAAAAAAAAACAAAATCCCTTTTCCGGTTAATAAGGTTTAAGAAAATTTTAATTTAGAATAGAGAAATTTAATTATCATTCTCAATCAAAATAACATATCTTTATCAAAACTGTGATTAATTTCTTTCTAAAAAAAAAGTTTGTTAATTATTTCTTTTCATTAAGAACAAAAAAAAATTTTCTATTAATTATATATATAAAAAAAACTTATCTCTTTCTTTTTAAACCAAAAGAATAAAATACCCTTATTATGAAATTTGTTTAATTATGAAAATTTTTAAATAAAGTTGTGATAAAAATTCAATTCTTTTACACATATACAAAATTAATTCAATACAAGTTTTTTTTTTTTTAATTTTGAACTTAATATTGTCAACACTTTTTCCAATAGTAATCACAAAAGTTGGATTGTTCAAAATCACAAAATCTGAAGTCATATCGTTAGGATCTTCTAGTAATATTTTATTTGTCTTTTTCTATTTGGAGAAAATACTAAAATGATAAAAATAAAATTTTAATTACATTAAATATTAATATATAATATTTTAATTATATTACATTAATACCTTTTATCGAATGATAAAAAAAAATCTCTATAATTCTCATAAGTTATCACATCTTCCCCACAAGGATGAAATCACTTTCACAAATTCATAATAGAACTCGTTACAGACTGTCAATTAACTATTATAATCGTCGTATTTGTTCATTCAGTCCGTCCAGTTTGTCTACACCTGAAGCTAGCCATGGTTATTCTTTTGGTTTCGTTTTGATATAAAAAAAATGGAAATAAAATATAAAGTAGCGATTTCCTTTTTTTTTTTAATTAGAATTCATGCTTTTGTTTTTATAATTATGTTTGATAGATAATATTACATTTCTTTATTTTGTTACTATTAATATTATTATTATTCATTACTTCCCTCGTAAATAAAAAATATTAGCACCTTGTAACAGCATTTTAGAAAATTAACAAATTAATGAATTACGGGATTTATCCTGTAGAATGTTTTTCCCTTTTTTTTTTTAAAAAAACTTTATTACTTGACCAAATTTTGACTTCTTCTTTAAATCCAAACAATATCTTAACCCAGGTAGAAAAATTTAATGGAAGCCTAGATATATGTTAACGCCACCACTGGAATTTGCATGGCAGTTTATGTCGCCGACTTCTTCTAGCGCCTTGAATGGCACAAGCACTTTTTACTAGAATGCAACATAACCTCAAACTCAACTATCAAAGGAATTTGGTTTTAACTTTAAGGTAAAAGTAAATGTTTTCTTGGAGAATATTGTGGCATTTAAAGAAAACAAATGATAGTGAAGGATTCTAAATATTTGTATATTTGTGATTGTAATAAATTCAAATATAAATTAATATTGCATTATAAATTTATGGTTCATTCGCTAATTTGTTCACTTAATTAAAAAAAAAAATTTGTATATGAATCTTTATTCAATTAAAAAAAAAAGATTTTCTTTGATATATTTTAAGTAATCAATTTAATGATTTATCACCAAGAATAACAACAAAAAAAAATTTTTTTTTTTGATATATTATTAGTTTCTCTCCATTCGAATTGGAGAACATAACCTCAAACTGGATTTACCTTTTTTTTTTTTAGAATTGACCTGACAGAAAGATTTACTGATTTTCTTTTAATTCGCGAAATAAAGTTTCGGCAGGTGAGGTTATGTTCACTCCAGCACTGCGAGCAGAATGCGAGAAAGGCGCTAGATAAAATGTTTCAAATGCCTTCAGTGCCACTACAGCGCAATAGAAAAATTTTTTTTTTTAATTCATTCTAGAGTGACCTAATACTCAAAAATATTCTACTACATTTATGTACGAACTTCTTTAATTCTAAAATCATTTGAAAACATTAACAACTTCTGTTCTAAACAATTCCAATCATCACCATTCTTCCACAGGGATGATTAATTTTAATAACAAAAAAAAATTCCTCAAGAATTCTAGAATCCATTTGTCCACGAAATTCGACTATTCAAGAATTCCTCAATTAAACACCAATTAAAATAAATACTTCAAATGGCTTCAAAAAAAAAACTCAATTAGACCCCTTTATAAACCATTCACTTGATAAAAGACAAAGTTTGTAATCTTATTAATTAAGGCAACATATTTTTTTTTTAATTTTAGAAAATATTTGATTTCTCTCAGAGTGGGAACGTTTGAATATAATATTGTTTTAATAGCAAAATTAATAATTCTTACAGTTACAACTGAGGCAAATTTGGAATTTTTTTTTGTTTTGTTTAAGGAACATTGCGAAAATTCAATTTTTTTTTTTAATTTTGAGTTTTATCTCTTTTTTTTAGCTAGTAAAATTCTAATTATTATCTTCACACCAAGAAATATAAATACATTAAAATGAGAGTCCTTATAAAATTTAATTATTTGTCAGTTATTGAATTAAAATACTTTGAACACTCGATTTGATAAAAGTTTTTGATAAAAAAAAATTTTTTTTTTTTTTTTGATAAATTTTATTATTTTCAGTTGAATTTCACGAAATTTCTATTGGTTCGATAATTTCTTTTAAATATTTATTTACTTATTAAAAGGAATGGATTTATATAAAAAAAATTTTAGTTGGAAGTACAAAAATGAATTTTTAGAGAACTTGCAATTGATTGCAAAATCCAATTATTTTCAAAGAGCATTCCAATTCTCTCAGAAACCTAACCATTTCCAAGAATTATAACAAAATTCTTGTTAGAACCTCAATCACTTCCAATATAACTTTTATCAAACTTCTCAATAAATTAAATTATTCAAAAAAAAAGAAACTAAATTCGTCGAAAGAGTTAAATTGTAAGAAGGAGAGAAAAAAAAAACTTGTTGATAAATTTGATATGAGAATTCAATTTTAAGAAACACTCAATCATTCAATGAAACATTGACCCCTGCAGTCAAACAATTTAATTCTTGCAGAATTTTCTAACAATACTGATGTTCGTCATATCTTAAATTTTTGAAATTTTAGTTTCGTTAGAAAATAATGGTGACTGCATATCTATTCTAAAATGAGGCTGCTGAATAAAAGAAAAAATTTTTTTTTTGTATTAAAACTAAAAAAAAATTCCACTTCTTGACCTAAAAAAAAATATTTGGAAAAAGTCAGGGAATTTGGAAAGAGCGAAACGTGGTAACCCCATTTATAATTTTCCCCTTTTTTTTTAATAAAATCATTTAGTCTAGGCATGACTTCAATGTTCTGATTATGACCGATTCTCCGAAAGTAACAACCCCGATATTTCGATTAATTCTATTGAATCTACTCTCCAATAATACCATTAACCATTTTCATAGTATAATTTATAATTTATAATTTGTAAGAGAACGAACATTTTTCTTCTAATAGAACAAGGGAAATAAAAAAAATTTCTTTTTCATTTCATTAGAATCGTGGTAGAGTATGGCCGGTGGGTCCCAGTACCACATAGAATAAATCCCAATTTAGGGTGGGACTTCAGCGAAGAGCTTCTGAATAGTACTCCGCCGCGAAAATACTCCCGAATGATTTGGCGTCAGGAGTACTACTGGCGGAGAAGTACGGAGGAGTATTTGGGCAGAGGATTTTGGGCGACGGTAAGGTCAACTTATGATAATAATAATAAAAGGAAATCTTCCTTTCCCCCTTTTTTTTTCTTTCGTTCTTTTTTCATTCCCCTTTTCCTTTTTTTTTTAGGCCTCCTTTCGAGACCCTGTTATGGTGAAAAGAGAGGATGGAGACTTGGTCGTCATCGTAGGGGGAGAATCTAACTGTATAGAGGAGGAACGAGTGTACGTATTTTGAGAGGCTATACTGAAATGCTGTAATCATTACGATTGGGAAGAAAATATATTTTTTTTATATGTGCAGAGATAATTTTCATCTTTTTTTTTTTAGTCCCCTGAAGGATCTGCTGGCCCACTCGCCGCCACGCTTCGGGGCCTATACACTGAGGGAGGAGTACTTCCTCTCATACATTCAGGAATTCGTCCCCGTAGAAGGAGAAATGATTTGCTTCCGATCACGGTGGCAATTGGTAAGGACCAATTGAGGGATTTAAATGTTGAATTTTATAGATATTGTTTTTTTTTACATTATTATCAATTAATTAAGGAGTTAATTTGGTAAAAAAAAATTTATACGGTAAGAAGGATTCCCTTTTTCTTTTACTCCTTTCCTTTTTTTTTTAGTGTTACAATATCCCGGTGGATGAGGCGCTCGAGACAGTGGGACATCGCTCCCTACCGGAAGGGCGACACATTCGTCGGGAGCGGAAGAGGGAGGCCCGATTGCGTCGTCGCGAGCACACTCGCGTGCTTTAAAGTCTTCTTTTTTTTTTATTTTAACCTTTACAATTCTATTACTTAAAACATAATTTTTTTTTTAACCTTAAGGAAATAGATATATATTTTTCTCTTTTTTTTTTATTACCTAATATCCTAGTATATAATGTTATTTACTATAATGGAGAACAGTAAAGTTACGTAACGGCGGTATTTTTACTACTTCTTTTAATTTCTATCTTATCTACAAAAATAAAAAAAATTTAACAAAACTAGATGTTTAGTTACAATGTCCCTCTTTTTTTTTTAATTTTAATAAAGGAAGTTGATGGTATATTTTGTTTCTTTAGTTGCATACTTCACGAATCACGCATTAATTAAAAAGAAAAAAATTTATGAAAAATTTTTTTTTTTGAATTAAGGATTATTTAAGTAAAAAAAAAAACTAGGATTGTGTTAAATCAATAATGCAGTTGGCAAGGTAATCCTATAGGGCAAAATAGGCGATACCAGTAAGAATGCAAGTTATTATTCATCGCTGGGGAGAAACATTAAGTAACGACAACAAAAGGATAGAATAAAGAGGGTTGAAAACAAAGCTTGAAGTTGAAAGATAGAAGAAAAGAAGGAGATTAAAATTTTTACCAATTTTGGAATTTTCGAAAGAGTATTTGCTGCTCTCCCTTTTCTTCTCTTTTTTTTAATTTGCGCAAAAAGATTTACTGGCATAAAATGAGTCAATTTTAAAATTTTCAAGAGAGCATATGCTTGTTGTTTTTTTTTTAATGTTTTATTGGATTTATCCATTATGGAGGCTTGATCAAAAAAATAATTACCGTAAGTAAAACTTTAATTATATTGTAATTCTTAAGTAAATTGTTATTTCCTAAAAGGAAATTATTTTTATAGAAGTCAGGTAGCTTTAGAAAATTTTATGGTTCATTGTTTGTGTTTTATCCCGTTTTATCTTCATTGCTGATGGATGTTGACGGAGTTATGATTATAGGTCGTCACAAGATAATCGCAAGGGGCATGGTGAAAATAGGAGGGATGAAAATTATATTCGCCTTAAAGAGTGAATAATAAAAATTATATATATATATTTCCCCCCCTTTTTTTTTTGGCTCCATCCTATTTTCACCAGAACAATATTAATTCGTTGTCATAGTAAAATGGGGATTATGAAACAATAAAATTGTTTTCAATAAAGGATGGAGAAAGCAGATCCCTTCAAAACATTGATTTGCACCAAAAGGGGAGCTCCTTTCTCTCCTATTTCCATTCTATTTGGTAGGACAATATCAATTCATTGTCATAGCGTGGAAAGATGGTGGATCAATTAAGTAAATGTATAAAACTGTTCTCAGAAAAGGACAGAGAACTGATCTTTTAAAACATCGATTTGCGCCAAAAAGGCGATCTCCCTTTTTTTTGGGACAATATCAATTCATTGTCATAGCGTAGAAAGGTTTGATTGAGCGGTGTGTAAAACCATTTTCAGAAAAGGACGGAGAAAACAGATTTTTTTAAAAAAAAAAATAGATTTGAACCAAAAGACAAGGTTTCCTTTTTCTTTTATTCTCCCTCCTTTTGAGAACGCACAATCTTACAGTCAAGACAAACGAAAAGAAAGAGAGGAGAGGGACAGTGGGCGGGGCATATCGATTATTTAAAACACCGAGGTGCTCCTAAAAAATCAATTTTATTGAATTTTAACTGGGTCACCAAGCCTCTCCTTTCTCCCTTTGTCCATCCGAATTTAATCACTTAAGGATATGGGGCATTTCTAATGTCAGGGCGGAGAGCAAGTCAATCAATACATTTACCAATCAACTTAGATTTCATAACCAAATTATAAGAACAAGTTGGGCGAACGAAAATAAAATCGAAAGCTTCTAAGCGAACGTTAACAGAAGTAAAAACTTCAATTCGACGAAATGTAAGGAAGTGAAAATCATTACCTTAAACGAGCTCAAAATTAGAAATAATAAAATTTTCTTGCTTTCCCCCTTTTCATTTTGGATTAAGAGGGGAACGTTCCTGGGGTGTTTTTCTTTTTACTTGCATATGATAACAATTTTACGCTGGTTGAAGCTTCTGTGTTGGGAGTTGAATCCGCATCTTCACAGTGGTCTTCGGTGAGGCGAGGAATGATATTTGTGTGGGTCGAAGAGCATATCTCAGTTCTGCCTTCTCGACCTGCTGCAATTGTTTGAGATGTTGTTTTGGTCTGGGCGTTGTCAGTTATCTGATCTTCGGTGATGGTAAATCTTCGGACGTAGCAGACTTTTATCCTCTCTCGATGACAGAATATAACTCCTTTGATTTTGGAGTTAATTCTGAAGTTGATGGTTCCTGTGTATCGACTATTTTGTCCTCGGGTAGACTGATTCTTCTTCTCCTTCTTCTTGAAACTTCAATATGGCCCCTTTTTGACTTTCTGGGCAAGAAACCAACCAATTTAGAGATTATTGTTCTCGTGCGTAATTGACAAAGACAAAATATGAGGAGAATGCATAGTAACAACAGTCCTATATAAGATGAGTAAACAAGGACTGTTTGATTTTTTCCGATGTGCCTTTTAATGGCAAGATCCTCCAGTTGTTGTTCCAGCTCATCCAATGTTTGGGAGTTCATCCTGAAGGTGGAAAATTTCGGATCAGCCACTTCTTCCTTTTGATTGTTGTCATTGGTCATGGTTAACAAGTGACCGTAGTTGAGAATTACTGGGGATAATTTAGTCAAATTCAGATGCAGGTCGGGTTCATAGATGATTTCTGTTTGTCCAACCTGAGAAATGGTTGCTGGGATTATTGTATCCTGGGTCCTTGCCATGCAGCCAGGTGCCAATTTCAAGATACCGGTTCCATTAAGGTTAATCTTGATAGGGGTCATAGAATGACAAATGACCAATACATCTTCCATCTTAGAAAAAGAGTATAGCCAGCTGGAAAGGGTGGTTAACGGCTTCCAGAAGGACTCAGAATTAACAGTAATTCGAATCTCACATGTTCTTAGGTTGTCGATAGTTGGATTAATTAAGAGTGATGGTTCACAGGCTGGTCTCTCCTTCAAATTGTAGATAGGAATTCCGTTCAAACAAGCGTGGTATGATGTTGTTGATTTACAGGATTTCCAGTCTCGCTCCGTGAGTAGAAGATAGGTGTGCTGCTCTTCATCAACAATAAGATAGTCATATTTGGTCTTTACATAAGCTCTTATTGTTTTATTTCCTATTGCCTCCTGGACAGTTGGAAGGGAATGCATTTTCAATGCCTGGTAGTTATATTTTTCCAGTAGAGGGATATCAACTAGGATTTTTAATTGACGATTGACACATAAGATGGTGACAGTGGAGATCGGTATCAATTCATCGATGCTGACTGCGGGTCCAGGTAAGGGAAACTGTACTTCGGTAAGATGATCCTGGACGTCACGTAGGATGGGCTCCAGCTGCTTAGATGAAATCAGTCCAGGGTGTAGTTTTCCTTGTCTGGCCGTATGGACTGCTTCCAGCATGGTTTGTGTGACTCGAATGTTGTGGTCCAACCCTGTCTTCAATGCTCCCAGTAGATTGAATATTGCGTCCCTTTTTTCTAACTCGACTTTAACTGCTGATTGATTTTCTTGATTTTTAATTAGCAGGTCCAGGTTTTGATTAATCTTATTTATTAGGGAGCTGTGTTTTTCGATTTGGGTATGGAGTGTGTCGAGCTGAGATCTCACAACGTGGGTTTGACGTCCAACCAGGTGAGACAGATTGGCTTGTGCAGAATTCAATTCCTAGATGATGGCATCGTATCTCTCTCCATCTTCGTAATTTAAAACACCGGCGATGGGACCAGCGATTTTTCCTAGGAATCCAAGTAGGGGCACGCTTCGCCTCATTCGTAGTTGAGCTGTCATCTTCTTCGGCATTGGTTTGCGGTTGTTTTCTAATTCGGTGATTTGGGTTTGGAACTGCTCCTGCAGTTCGGAAGCCATTTCCCATTTATCCTCCCAAGGGTGATGGACTACAAACTCATGGCACCAATTCTTTTCAGATGCGCAATGGTTCTTCAATTTCTCCAATCGGGCCTTCAGGTCGTCGATGTATCCATGTTGCCGGCTTATGTCCAGGAAGATGGTCACTCTCCAGTTGGTCACGGATCTCCTTACGGTACCAAGATGCTCATAATATATCCCACTGCTAACAGGCAACGGGGTAATTTGGAACTGCTACTCATCAGAAGTCCTTGGAAAGGAGTCGGATCCACAGATTGCCACTGGAACTAGGATAGAGGTTAGGCCTGTCAGGAGGAAAACGGTTGGTCCTTTCATCATAATTTTCCTTTTTCCTAAAATGAATTAAATGTTAATATTGACGTTAGCGAAGTATTGGTTACAAATGGGTAACCAATACCTTATCTTTATGTTTGGCGAACCTATCGCCATTCTCGTTTTCCAGAATAACATTATTATTCTGGGTAATGTCTACAACCGTATACGGACCGCTTGCTCTGTTGTCAAATTTGTTTGTTCTTACCTCCTTGTAGGTGTATACCTGGTCTCCAACCTTAACATTCGATGGTCGAGCCTTGCGATCATAGAATTCTTTAGAATGACATTTTGCCCTTCTTAGACTTTCAGCCGCCAAATTTTGCAGCTCGGTCATTCGGGTGACAAGATCTCTCAGGTATGACCCATAGGTTTCAAGTTCTGGCCCTTGTGGAAAAGAACTTGGGATTCTTGCTATATGACCAAAAACCAACTCGTACGGAGTGAAGTCAGTCGCCTCGTGAATTGACGTGTTATAATTAAACATCGCAAATGGGAGCAGACGATCCCAATCGTCGAAATCCCTTGCGTAGTGTTTAATGTAGTCTGTCAACTCAATGTGGCTTCTTTCTAGAGCTCCATTGGTTTGGGGTCGATAGCCAGAAGTTGTAAGCTGTTTGACACCAAATATTCCCTTCAAGCTTCCGCATTAGGGAACTCACAAAACTTCCGCCTCTGTCTGTGAGTACACATCTGGGTGCTCCAAACGTGGCAAAAAGGTTTGTCGCTACTGCGTGAGCGATGGTGGTGGTTTTTATGTCTGGAATGGGAACGGCAATGCAATATTTACTAAAGTTATCTTGCATTGTGAGAATGTGCCGATTCCCATTGGGGGTAGTTCTAAGTTTTCCTACAGTATCTAAAGACACTTTGTCGAAAGGCATAGCCGGTGTGTCCGTTATGATCATAGGCTCTCTCGTACGGGCCCTAGCCAGTTTATTCTCGAAACAACTTTTACATTGTCGAATAAACTCTGTAACTTCGTCTCGCAGTCTCGGCCAGTAGAATCGTTCGCGTATTCTACGGTACGTTTTCGTAATGCCTTTATGACCTCCTACAAGGCTACTGTGGAATTCTGATATTATCTTGGGTCGCAATTCTAAGGGAGGAACTTGGATTCTTCCGTGGCACAAGGTGATTTTTATATCGTCACCGCGGAATATTCCTGCTACTAGTTCCGCCATTTTGTTTTGTGGGAGAGGACCTAAAAGGTCTCCAGAATTTGCCATACGGCAGTGATTTTGATTGTCCAGCGTGAGCGCGTACTTTAAATTTTTCAAACCTTCGGTGACATCCCTCCAATCTTTCGTTCGTAGGCTTTTTGGTTTTTGACGGGTTTGTTGTCGTTCGTCTTCCAGTCGTTCTTTTGCCATTTTGGAACCCATTCCTTTATGCCTTGGACAAGAACTTTGGAATCACTTTTCTAAGTTTTCTGATCCCAGCTTCTTTGCTGATGGATCGCACTGTAGCTGCTTCGATTTCGAGGCGTTGTTGGTTTGTCGTCCTCCGTATCTTCGCGACACGTTAAGGGGATGGTCGGGTCCGAACCACACTCCTATGCCTGCTGGGCCTCGTTCCACCATTATCTCCACATGCGCATCTACGTAAACGTTGTATAGGGTCATTCGACAAAGGGAAACAGGAGATTGCTCTTCAGTTTCGTTGAAACATTGGGATCAGCTTTCTTCGCTGCGACGTGGCAAAACGCTGATCACTATATAGCTCTGGCGCTTGGCTTGGGGGTTGGGCTGATATCGGAACACTGGGGAAACACTATCGAAGCACTATGGTCTTTAGCAAGGCGATCTGCATTTTCATTACCTTCAATACCATCATGCCCTTGTCATGCAGCTCCCAAAATAAATCAGCATGTTTCAAGGCTTTTTCAATCGTTCGTAGGCTTTTTGGTTCTTGACGGGTTTTGTTATCGTTCGTCTTCCAGTCGTTCGGTGGACAGTCGAACCCAGTCGCTCTATCCTTGGACAAGACAACTTTGGAATCACTTTGTTTTAATTCAGTTTTAATTTAAGATCCCAGCTTTCTTGCATGAATCTTTTGAGGTTGGGCTTCGATTTCTGAGGTCGTTGGTCGTTCGTCCTCCGTATACACTTCGCGACACAATTAAGGGGGTGGTCCTCTCAATCTTTTGGCTATCACAGCTGACATCAGGGTCGATTGAGCTTACTGCTACCGGAGGCCGATAGGGCTCCTCTCCGTCGGATTCCTTTGGTTGGGTAGAGCCTTTAGGTCTTCCCGGTCGTCGGGGTGGAGGTTCAGATCTCGAAGATGGACCAGGGAGTTGGAAGTTGTCAGCATTCATCCTCATGGGTCGGTTGCTTGATGCAGCTCCCTTTGGTCCTTTCAGGATAGATGTGGGTTGAAGTTCAAAGGTCCAGGGGCTGTCGCTCTTCGCGTAGGAATTCTAGGTTGGAGGCTCGCTGCCGCTTTCCTGGTTTTGTTGTGGGAGCTTTGACGAAGCTCCAGGTAATTTGAAAGTTGGATTAGGTTTTAAAATGGTCCTCTTATCTGATTGAGAAGTTGATCTAGTATGAGGCCTTGTGGAAGAAGGACTGGGTTGGGAGGGGTTAACATTCTTAGGATCCTTTCCCGCACTAGCCTTTTTATTGTCCTTTTTACTGTCCTTGATAGGCAATGGACGGAGTGGCGGTGGTTTTTGAGTAGAGTCATTTTTAGGGGCATCGATTTCGGTATCTGCAGCATTGTCTAGTGACGAATCGGTCCAGTCCGACTCGGAACTCGCGTTAGAACACTGATCATTTTTAGTCGCCTTCTCTTCCACGGGATTGTATGATAGGGCCTGCACAATTCGATTTATTTTACCAAAATCACACGCTAGTGTGAATTCTCGACCATACAGATAGGGTCGAAAATGTTCTACAGCGTGTAGTACCGCCAAACATTCTCTTTCAGCTTTGGGATAGTTTAGTTCGTTTTTATTAAGGACCTTTGAGAAGTAGCTCACAGGTAAATCTATGCCGTCTACTTCTTGAGTTAGCATTGCCCCTACTGCATATTCTGAGGCGTCAGTGGTTAACTTGAATCTTTGTTGGAAGTCTGGATATTGCAGAATAGGTTTGCGACACAAGTATTTTCTTAGTCTTAAAAAGCTTTTACACTGTGATTCACCCCATTCCCACTTTACGTCCTTCTTTAACAATTCCGATAGAGGTTTAGCTAATTTAGCGTAGTCCTTAATAAAACGACGATAATATCCGGATAGCCCTAAGAAACTTCTAATGTCCTTTTGCGTCTTAGGTTTAGGGAAATTTTAATGGCTTCGATTTTGTTGGGGTTAGGTTTGACGCCATTCCCGCTAATAATGTGCCCAGGTACGCCACTTCGTTTTCAAAAACTCACACTTGTCAGGTTGAAGTTTTAGATTTGCTTCCCGAAGCTTAGCGAAAAGCCGCCGGGCTCTAACATCATGCTCTTTAAGTGTGTCCGAATAAATAATAATGTCATCTAAATAGACAAATGCCTCAGTATCGAGCATGCTACTTAGTACACTATTAAGTAATCGTTGAAAAGTGGGAGGAGCATTCTTTATACCCATGGGCATCCTGTGATACTCATAATGACCGTTTCTCGAAGAGAACGCCGTTTTGTGTCGGTCATCGGGGTGTGTCTCGATTTGGTGAAACCCACTTGCTAAATCAAAGACGGTAAAGAACCTGACTTTTCCCACACGATCGAATATTCCACTAATATTTGGCAATGGGAATGCGTCTCCAATTACCTTCTCATTTAGGGCCCTATAATCGATTACAACCCTCCACTTCTTTTCTCCTGAACCGTCGAGTTTTTTCGGCACAATTAGTAGTGGAGAATTATAATCGGAATTAGAATGACCTATTATCCCGCTATTGAATTGCTTTAGGAGCTGCGCATCTATTTGCTCCAAGGCCTCATTAGGAGACATGTACTGTTTCTTTCGGATCACTTGGTCATCGATGGTCGGAATTCTATGCTGTACCATGTGCGTACAAGTGAGCATTTCTCCATTAAGATGGAATATATCAGAAAAAGGTCTTCCGCCCATCGATTTACCATCTCTTTACACTCCGGAGTCAAATGAGAGGTATGTAAGGGACTCCTTGACTTTACGGACCCTATCAGAAGTTCCCATGTCCGTGATCTTTTGCAATTTCTCGGAGTCAGAATCAGAAAATTCTTCTCCGGGGAATTTGCAGAAGTCAAATGGAATGAGCTTCTGTGGATCTAGTCGTAAGTCAATGTCATCCTCAGTAGTGTTAATAGCCATCGCATGGCATACACCATCTTTACTCGAAACTAGGGCTTCTCCCAGGTAAACACCTCCTGGGGCCTGCACGCGCGGTAGATAGCCTTCTTTTAATTCCGGGTTAAGCACATCGATCGCTATTAGTTTTCTGGTTCGAGCTTGAGTTCTTAGTATTCTCGCGAATGGTTTAATTTGAGGTCTCAACTTTTCTCTAGCTTCCAGTGATTCGCGGTCCACAAACGGAATATGAGTCACCGGATTTGTAATGGTTACAAGAGCATTATGTCTCAAGGAAAGTTGAGCCTGTTCGTGACGCAAGAACGGTCTTCCCAGAATTCCAGATGTAGAGATC